CTTCCTCACTTTGGTCATGATCGCCTCCTTCTGTAATACTATCTTCCCATTCGAGGGTATCAAGTCTAGCTTCTTCATTAGTTTTTCCCCAATTCCATCATTTGGCTTATTCAAAAATCACATCTCTACTTACAACTATCTTCTTGGACACTTGATCATAGAGTCTATATGCTTTAGACTCTTCACTCATCCCTAGCAGCACACACTGAAAACTTTTGTCATCTAACTTCTTTCTCTTACCGTCTGATACATGAACATGCCCAATGCGTCCGAAACCTCGAAAGTCAACATTAGGTTTTACGCCACTCAAAGCCTCCTCAGGAATCATATTTTTCACTACCACTATAGGACTTCTGTTGACCACGTGCATTGTCCAGTTTTCTACTTCTGGCCATAAATTCTTTGGAACTTGCTTCTCTGATAATATACTTCTAACAATGTTCATAATTGTTATGTTCTTGCGCTCAACTGCACCATTTCGTTGGGGAGTGTAGGGTGCAGTAAGTTGTCTACTGATACCATTAGTTTTACAAAAGTTGTTGAACTCGTGAGAGGTGAACTCTCCACCCCTGTCCGTGCGTAAACAACGAATAAAATCTCCAGTCTCTTTCTCAACAAGATTTTTGAAATTCTTGAAGATAGTAAAGGCTTCAGACTTTTCAGCAAGAAAATATATCCACACCTTGTGGCTGTAATCATCAATAAAACTTATAAAATACCTCTTCTTACTATTGGAAGAAGGTTTGATGGGTCCACAGATGTCTGCATGTACCAGTTGCAACCTTTGTGTTGCTCTCCATACACTTCTCTTTGGAAATGCATCCCTATGCTTCTTTCCCACCATGCAATCAGTGCATATTTTAGACGATGCTTTCAATTGGGGTAACCCTCTCACCATTTTTGTATGTTGCAATGTTCTCAAACCTTTGAAGCCTAGGTGATCATATCTGCTTTCAAAGCAACTACCTTCTATTTTGTTGATTGCCAGCAGATCGCGCCGCCTGAAAGGAAGTAGATCATTCTGCTGGTGCTCTTACGATCATCAACATCACCGGTCATGTCACAATCACTTTAGCCGACCAGCTTGAGTTTCTCCTTTCCTCTTCCTACGCAGTTTCTTACACCCCAGCCTCTGGTTCCGGCTATATAGCGCAGGATGCGCTTGACAGCCACTAGATGCTCCTCCCTAGGTGCTTCCATAAGCGTACTCACATATCCAAAAGAATAAGCAAGATCAGGACGAGTGTTTACCAGATAGCACAGACTCCCAAAAATGCTGCGGTAATTGGTGAAGTTGACTATCGTCGTAGTGCCGGCCTTCCTTTGTTGGAGCTGGGCCTCTATTGGTGTCCTTGTAGGATTACTGTCCGTAAGCCAAATTGTGTCCAACATTTTCTTCGCATACGCACTTTGGCAGATGAAGATGCCAGTAGAATTTTGTTGCACTTCGATGCCGAGGTAGTATTTGAGCACGCCTCCTTCTTGAACGTTCCGAGGACTTCCATGTCGCCTCTAGTGATTATTAGGTCGTCGACGTACACTCCCACGATCAATCGCTGCTTGCCATGGCCGTGCGTGTACATGCCATGCTTAGAGGCACAATGCTTGAACTTCAGTGACAGTAGGGTACTGTCGAGCTTCGCGATCAAGCTCGTGGGTCTTGTCGAAGATGCCTTGTGTAGGCGTAGTACCTTACTGGGGTTGTCATTGTCCAGGAAGCCAGATGGTTGTCGGACGTAGACGGTTTCCTTCAGCTCTCCATTAAGGAAGGCAGACTTCACGTCCATATGGTGAAGCTCTCAAGAGCAATGTGCTGCAATTGTCAGCAAAAGACGAACGGATTCTAACCTTTCCACCGGCGAAAATACCTCTTCGAAGTCCATTCCTTGCTTCTGGACGTAGCCCTTCGCCACCAGATGGGCCTTGTGCTTCACAACTTCTCCTTTTTCATTGCGCTTTAGTTTGAAGACCCATTTCAGCCCTATGGCTCGATGTCCCGACGACATATCCTCCAGACTCCACATCTGGTTCTCGGTGATGGATGTCATCTCCTCCTGCATTGCTTTCAGCCAACACGGGTTCCTTTCTACTTCGGTAAAGGTGTTCGGTTCATCTGCACTTATGGCATGCAGTTCGGCAACTTCTTTGAGCTCGCGCGCTGCCAGTCCAGGTGGTTCACCTCCTCCCACTACGTCGTCCATCCTCCGGTACCTGGCCACTAGATCATCATTGTGATCGGCATCCAGCGTCGAATCCGTAGTCTGTGGTGTTGCGAACTCCACTGGTTCAGGTGGTGCACCTACTGGCGGCGGTGACGGTTCCTGATGCTGGGCTCCTTCTTCTCCGGCTCGGTGACGAGGTACTCCACCATGAATTGATTTGGGTTGTGGTCTGCCTCGATCACGTCGTTCCACTGCCAAAAGGTGCCTTCGTCGAAGATGACATTGAAAGATACGTGAGCTCGCCCCCCAACCGGATCATAGAGATGTATGCCTTTCTCCCGGGGTCATAGCCGATGAAGACGACCTTTAGCCCCTTGGGATCTGATGGTGTTAATATAACACATGCACAAGCAATTTGGATCTTAGGCACTTTTAGAACATCAATTATAGTAAATAACTAACATGTTTATAAGTATTAAAACTTAATGAGTTTGAATACTAACCTTTTGTAGTTCAAATTCCTTTTTCCTCACGAACCGGTTTGGAATCCGGTGAGTGACTAAACTTGAGAGGGATTTTGTATATATGAAGAGAGTGTTTGTGAGAGGTTTTTTTCAAGGTTTTTTTACCAAGAAGACCTTTCATGTACCATGATCACTCTATTTATAGAGTCATTTTTTATGTTCATGCAAATTTGAGATCACCAAATTTTGACACTCAAAATTCCACTCAAATGTTTGGGATTATGTGGCAAGCATGCATGTTTGAGCTAACCAACTTTTGACACTCAAAATTCCACTAAAACTTGTGGGGTTTATTTGGCAAGCATGCATGTTTGGTTAAACCAAATTTTGACACCTCAAAATTCCACTAACATGAATTTTTCCATTAAATGAAGTCAACATTTTGACTTTCTTCATTTTAATTCAACAATTAATTTGAATAATTTAATTTCAAATTAAAGTAATATTAAAGGATTAATTAAACTATTTAATTAATATTTAATATTAACTCAAAAGCCAATCCCAATCAATTTTGACTTTCTTCCTTTTAATTCAACAATTAATTTGAATAATTTAATTTCAAATTAAAGTAATATTAAAGGATTAATTAAACTATTTAATTAATATTTAATATTAACTCAAAAGCCAATCCCAATCAATTCTGACACATATTTGATTAAAATATTTAAACCTTATTTAAATATCTCAAATTCTCTCTTTTTGTTTAATTCGTAAATAAAACAAAAATGCGGTTAAATATATCGTATATATGTAGTGCATATTCCTTAATTTGAATTCGAACACTTGGAAGTCACTCGTCACACTGTTTTATTGTTTGTCCGATATGAGCTAGTAGAGGGACCTAATGGACCTATAGATTATGGGCTCCAATGATCCAAGATTAACCGGTTAAACTCATTAACCTTGTTAATCAACAACACTCGTTAACTATTAGGACACTCCACTATAGCCTAGTAGTTGCACTCCCCTCACTATAGATATATTTCTGTCCATTTGATATAACCATGATTAGTAAGTCGATCCTTCACAGGTTGTTCGTAGCTAAAGCTGGGTCGATTAGTCGTTTTACCCCTTAAGTTGCTTTTTGTTCCTTATGTCCCACTGATCCTCTTATGAACAATTGGTTTGTGGTCCAACTAGTAAACCGAATCCCTCTCACGCCAATGAGTGGGTGGGGCCCCTTGTTCAAGACCTGGAGTCAGTACATAAGGGAACTACCTCTCTTCTATCCCTGAAAGTGGGTAGGAGCGAATTCCATCTTGCACCCCACGTCCCCAGCTATTCACCTAGTCTTACCCCTGAAATTGGAGGCCTATTGAGTCTGCAAACTCGAGCCACTCTAACCCATGCAAATCTAAGGATAATTCCGAATAAACAGGAGTTCATGGTTAGCTCAGGATTAAGATCGAGTTACCTAGGTCATCGAATGAAAAGAAAATCAGTCTCAACAGTAAACGACATTATAAAGTGAGA